CCATGTTTTTGCTAGTATGAATAGTGCTGCCCTGAATGTATATATATGTAGGTGTCAAGGGTGACTGAACTTGAGTGAAGGAAATTAGGTGGTTCATGCCAGTGTACAGATAGACAAAGAGGACCCAATGAATGGTTGAGGAGTGGGGATGAAAAGAAAGGAATTACTCAAAGAAATCAATACAACTTGTTAAGACAAAAAACATGATGAGAATGAGAGAGCACAAGAAATCCAGCATAACACCAAGGTTTTTGGATATGATGACTGGGAGGTGATGAGGCCATTAACTGCAAGGAGGAATTTTAAAGGAGGAACAAACCTGTTGAATCTGAGATGGTTGGTGGAATATGCAGTTAATCTAGAGGATAGTTGGACTTATGGTCTTAAGGTACCAATTTAGAAGGCACTAGCATATAGTGACGGAGTGTCACTTGCCATCTGAATACAGAGATCATCTAGAAAGACTGTGTAGTATGAGAAGGGAAAAAAATGGCAAGGAAGATTCCTGGAGAACCACACTTAGTGATGAATGAAAGAGGATGAGTCTACAGTTAACTAGAGAGAGCAGAGAAGTCGGAGACAGAAAAGTAGAGCGTGGAATCAGAAGTACAGGAAAGAAGAAAGAATTTTGAGGCATGTGCAACAGTCAACTCTAACAAATGCGGAAGAGAGGGCAAAATCACTGAAAAGTGCTAACTGAATGCAACAGTCAAATTGTGAAATGTCCACAGGACAGTGGGGACAGAAGCCAGGTGTAATTGGTTGAAAAGTGAATGGTTGTGACTGAACAGAAAGCATCGATTTGAGTGTTTTAAAAGACATTTTTAGATTCAGGGGTACATATGCAGGTTTATTGCATAGTTTCAGTGATGATGTGGGGCTTCTAGTGAACTCACCACACAAGTAAAGAACATTGTACCAATGGGTAATTTTTCAACCTTCAACCCCCTGCCTTCCTTCCTCCTTTTGGAGTTCTCAGTGTCTATTTACTCACTCTGTATGTCCATGTATACCCATTGTTTAGCTCCTGTTTATATGTGAGAACATGTGGCAACTGATTTTCTGTTTCTGAGTTTTTTCCCTTAGAGTAATGGCTTCCAGCTTCATATATGCTGCTACAAAGGACATGATTTTGTTGTTTTTTTTATGGTTGCATAGCGTTCTGTGGTGTGTAAGTACCATGTTTTTCTTATGTAATCATTCATTGATAGACACTTAGGTTGATTCCATGCTATGTGAATAGTGCTGCAATAAACATACAAGTGCAGGTGTCCTTTTAATGTAATGATTTCTCTTCCTTTGGGTAAATACTCACCAGTGCAATTGTTGAGTCAAATGGTAGTTCTGTTTTTAGTTTTTTGCCATATCTCCCTACTCTCTTCCATAGTGGTTGTACTAATTTATATCCCGACCAACAGTGTATAAGCTTTCCTTTTTCTTTGCATCCTTGCCAACATCTGCTATTTTAAAAATTTTTTTTAACTTTTACTTTTAAAGATGTGGAGTACAATTCAGGGTTAGGTATACAAATGGTCATGATGCAGGTACCCTTGTTGATGAGGTGTGCCCCCCTCCCCCAGCAGATTCCCACTACTGCCAATTCCATCCCCACCCCGCCCTCCAGCAGTTTCCCGCTACTGCCGATCCTTTTCTTACAGTATTAAGATAAGTGTTCACTTATGAGTGAGAACATGTGATACTCGATTCTTTGTTTCTGTGATAGATCATTCAGTATTATAGACTCTGTGTCCATCCAAGTTGCTGTGAAGTTCGTAATTTTCTCCTTCTTTATGGCTTTTTAATGAGTGCTTTTTTACAAAAGTTCTACTGTGAAAGAAAGGAGGTGGGCAAGAAAGAACATGACGGTAGAAGGGTCTAAGAAGAATTCTGATGCCTTTATTTTTGCTTTAGAAGCTTAGAGCTGTGGAGCCCGGGTGTGGTGCTGGGAAGCATGCTGAGAGTCCAGAGTGAGCTGATGTGGTCACTGGCCTCTGATCTGCCTGACATTAAAAAGACAGTAATAATAGTAGCACCCTTAAGTAGTACTTACTATGTTCTAAACACTCCTCTATGCTTTTTTATTTTTAGTTGGGGTCTCACTCTGTAACCCAGTTGGGGTACAGTGGCACGCTCACAGCTCACCACAGCCTTAACCTCCTGGGCTCAGGCAATGCTTCTGCCTCAGCATCCCAAGTAACTGGGACAGGCTGCAATGCCCCGGCTAAGTTTTTAATCTTTTTTGTAGCGATGAGGTCTCCTTCTGTTGCCCCGTCTAGTCTCAAACTCCTGGGCTCAAGTAGTCTTCCCTTCTCAGCCAACGAAAGTGCAGGGATTATAGACAGCCTGTTTTATATATATTAATTAACCTGGCCTGTTTTATATATATTAATTCACCTCTCTCTCAAAACTCTGTTTGTGAAGTTCATTCTATTAATATCCCCATTTTGCATATAAGAAAACTGAGGCACAGAGAGGTCAAATAACCCACTCAATTTGTCTTCTGCCCACTGCACTAAACAAATGCATTACATCAGAGCTATCAAAACAATATATAGGTGTATATATCAGCATCAGCAGATCTAGGTCATTGGCTGAGAGGCAGAAAGGACAAGAAGTGGGGTCCAGGGACTTTGCTGTAGGTATAGTTCAGTTGTCTAATAAAGTGAAAGTTTCCCCATGGAATATGTCTTTGCAACTCTTTCATGTCATTAAGAAGTCGGAAGATTGAGTAAAATGATTGTCTTATCAATTCTATTTGACTCTTAACCTTGGAGGAAGACTTAGTTGAGAACAACAATTGAGAGTTAGTTTGCTGTGGCAGAACTGAACTAGTAGCTAGTAACTCAAGTTGGAAATTAGGGTTAAGATGTGGGTGGAGGTAGACAGGAGAGATAGAGAGAGAGATGGGTAGGATGCTAAAAACAAAGATTATCTTGACCACACAGTTGAATAAAGCTTGAAATTCTTTTTAGCTAATTGGTAGAAGAACTCACAAAAGCTGGGTAAACTTTGTATTTGTAGTACATTGCTTATCTGAATACTTGAGTTTTTCCTAGTTTTATACCCATTACTTAACAAAGGTGGCATTATTTGAAAATATATAAGAATAGTTAGACATGTGTTAGTCTCTTACTCTAATACTATTAGCAGCAGAAGCTAACAGTAACATTTACCCAGCTCTTCCTATGTTCCAGGCATAATGACTATTGTTTTATATAAAGTTTCTTACTTTACCTTTATAAGAGCCCCAGACAGGGCTCACTATTATCCTTACTTTACAATTGAGAAAACTTGGGCTTGGAGACACTGTGTTCCCTGCCTAAGGTCGTAAAGCTTGCAAGGCCTAAGCTGAGATGAGAACCAGTTGGTGTGAATCTAAACTTAGACACTCAACCTCTGCACTATACAAAAAAGTAAATGGTGTCATGAGCTAGCCACTTCAGAGTTGGCTGAATGTTACCATGTCCATCCACATAATGAGAAGATTAGCCTTGGAAAAACTTTGTCTTTCAGTTGTCCAGGCCATAGCTATTTAGGCGCTGGTTCACGAGTTTGAATATTAAGAGAGAAGTTGAACCTAGTAAAAAATAGTAGCAAGTTACATTTTTTGATTTTGTTTTTCACAGCTATATGGTAGATCTCTTCATGATTCAGTTTGCTGAACCATGCAGCTGTCATAGTATAAAAACAATCTTAATAAAGAAAAGTTGTCTTAAGCGTATAAAAGTTATCCTATGTCTTTTCCTTGCCTGACTAGGCTATTAAAAATACTTCTTTTTCAAAGAAAACGGAATGGCACTTGTATGTGCTTAGGTGTTCTAGATATTTGTGGACTGAAACTATAGCTAAGAAAGGCTTGATTAGCCAAAGGAAGACTCTTGGTATAATGACAGTGAGTATACTTATCACTCTTGGTATAATGACAGTGAGTATACTTATCACAGTGGGTTTTATTCATCCCTCTCTTCAATGCTACATACTTGCTGTGCTAGCTGCTGAGATGCACAGATGCTGTCACTGATTTCATCTTGTGGAGTTTATAATCTGATGGCAGAGGCATAAATTAAATAAGTCCACCAAAATATTTAATTACTTTTAAATTAGATTTTGAAAACTAATAAAATTGGATTGCTTCCCAATTAACTATAATAGGCTAAATAGCTTCGGATGCTGGGAAATGGGCCAGCTAATAACAGCATATATCAGCTCTGCTAATAAGTGTGAAACTATAGATTCAGTGCATTAAAATAACTGAGGCAATAAGTATTAAAAAGGCTACTGTCTTATATAACATAGTTCAAAGTGCTGGGTGTAAGTTGAAGAAAATAACAATTTAATATTCTCAATGTTTATGTATTTGTATTGCTTATTACTACATTATGAAACAGGCACAATTACTGATCTTGGGTAGCTTTGATATGGAAACTTAAAAAAATATTGTTTCTCCTCATGCCTTTTTTTTTAATGTGGAGTACAGTTCAGGGTCAGGTCTTCTCATGTCTTTTGTTTCTGTTGTATTGTCCTGGAAACCTCTTAAAGGAGACATTCTAAAAAAGACTGTGAGAATAGTAACTCCAAGCCCAAAGGATCTCCAAACCAATTTTATCTTATAGTTTCCTTTTTCTAAATCAAGATCAAAAGTTATGAAACATATATTCAAGCATGTCAAAAGATTTATTTAAAAATTTGATTTGCATTTGATATTAAAGCCAGGTAAGAGTTGTTAAGTAAAGAATTTACTTTAACCCTTAATCCATGGTAATTATCTCCCATGAGTTCAGAATGTATGAAATTATACTTTGACACCAAACTGTTTAGGTCTGGAAAAATCATAGAGTGAAATTTACGCCCTTATGGATTCTTGAAAGAGTAACAATGTATGTCCCCCTATTTATGTGGGTTGTACTACAGTAACACAGTGATGGTGTTGTTAAATTTTTTGTTTTTTATATTTGGTTTTTGCAACTTACTAGTTTCTTTCCCAATGCTATTTCCCACAGGCCCAGTTTGAACTTCGGACATTTCATATCCGGGGTGAGCATGCAGTGATAACAGCGAGACTGGAAGAAACCATCGAAAATCTCAAACATGAGTTGGAACACCGATGGCAAGCAGGATGTGAAGAGAGGAGAGATGTGTGTGTCTCCACTGATGATGACTGCCCTCCAAAGACCTACAGGAATGTGTGTATCCAGACAGACAGAGAGACCTTCCTCAAGCCCTGTGAAGGTGAAAGCAAGACAACCAGAAGTAACCATACAGTACCCAAAAAACTGACTATCTCCTCTTTAAGCCAACTCTCTCCCCCAAATGACAACAAAGACATCCATACAACGCTTCAGTCTGTGGAAGGCATGTCACTGAATCAGCAGAAGGCATCATCTCCCCCTCCAGCACCACCCCTGCCAGCTTCCATCCCTCCCCCTCCACCCCTCCCTCCAGGACTTGGACCTTTGTCCTCTGTACCTCCAGTGCCACCTGTGAGTGCTGGGCCACTGCCACCTCCTCCGCCGCCGCCTCCACCACCGCCTTTACCTCCAAGCGCAGGACCTCCACCACCTCCTCCCCCCCCACCACTTCCTAACTCCCCTGCCCTACCTAACCCTGGGGGGCCTCCTCCTGCTCCAATGCCCCCAGGACTTGCACCCCCACCCCCTCCTGGACTATTCTTCGGACTCAGCTCTTCTTCCAGCCAATGTCCTCGAAAACCAGCTATTGAGCCTACTTGTCCCATGAAGCCTTTATACTGGACTAGGATACAAATCAGTGATAGGAGGTAAGCTCTCCCCTAACCCACTCTCAGTTTGTGAGTTCCTGGTACTTTGCCCAAGTGATATTTTCATCTTACCAGTTCAGTATCTCCATAGTGTAGCACCTGTTATCAAATGTGACACAGTGAATGCCTTGGATAAACAAGGTCAGGATATTTGAGGAGAATGTCTGTCTCTGTCAAGTCCTCTCTGTATTCTGTCCGGATTAATACAGGGAGGAATGGTGTGTTTCAGTGTCAGATTTTTCTCTAATGAAAATATTCCATTTTATAAATAGGAGAAGAGTTCAGTTTTAAGCTAGGTCTTCTCCAACATCACGGCAATTAATGAGTAATCATAGAGAAATTGATCTTGAATCTATATTGTAGTTTCACTGAGGATTTCTAGAATATCTTTTATGATTTATTTTGTTTTTAGTTGGTATCATCAACCCTATGATATGGATATTCAGCAGATATGTATACTTTTCATTTTTTAATTAAAAGAACAAGACATGACTGAGTTATTAGTTCTTCAGATCTTTGCTTAAACTCTAATTCCTCTACTAAAGGCTGTCACATCTTTTTTATACCTTGTTGCCCTTCAGAGAAAAATGCCTGTGTGTGGATAGCAAAGTACATCTTCCATTTGTATAGGTTGTTGAACTGGGTTTGTAGAGCAGCAAGATATGGTCGCTTGAAAACTTCCATTCAAACATTTGCTTCATTTCTACACCTGGCAGGAGGCAATATGAGGATGTTGACCACTTTCTCCTTTCGTAGCTGGTTTGTAAAGAACAGCAAATACAGAACACATTTCAAAACTTACTCCCCAGATCAAAGATGTGGTCATGGATTCTTCAATTTATATAACATTTTGCTTAGGGAAGGAAGAATACTTAACAAAATAGAACACAATTCACAAGTATAAAGCAACTGGGAACCACTACAGGAAGAGTGGAGAATACCTTAAATCACAGTATACGGTGAACTAAGCTAGTTATGTACTTCACATTGTCCCCTTTCCTCTCATCAAAAAATGAGAGCCAAGAGTTTACTTTTGGAATATCCTGATAGTTTTTCAAAATTTAATTAAATCTTTATAATTTCCCAAATGAATGGTTTTTTTTTTAAAGTGAGATGATCTTATAATAGCTTCTACCATTAACTACAGTACTAGTATTCCCCTTTTCCCCATCAAGACTCAGCTATTTCCTAAGAAATAATTTCCCAGAATAATTATTTTGAGTCATGTTCCTTTACTAGTGTTCTCAAATTAGTGAGCAGCCATGCCAGGGTGATGAGTCCCACCTGTCAGCCCCGGAGTCATGTGTTCTGACGGCTCAAGGAGCTGTTCCACACCTGTGTCTCACTAGCCTGCCATCACTTCCTTTCCCGAGAGACTTTGTGAGCAATGGATACTTTAGACCATAGCAGCTATAAAACGGACCCACTGAGAGACATGGGCCCTTCGCCCACTATTCAAGGTGGGATAAAGGCAAGGATAAAGGCAAGCTGGAGATAATTATTGTCTGCATTTTTTCCTCTTTATGTAGTTGGCCATTTTGAGATGGAAACAATTGAACACTCAAGCACTCATTGGATTCACCATAAATCTAAGGCTTTGGGTCCTAACAAAGTGAAAAGTACATAAATAGGACATCAGGAGAGCCCTGCTTAAGACTGTCAGCCTTGAGTCTGAACTGGGACGTGGGGGTCTGCCCTTCTATGATGTGTTAAAATGCCGACATGACCACATCTTGCTGGCACCACACAACCAGTCTCTTTTTTTAATGGATCCCTCAAAATATTTTATACCTCTGTGACAACTACTTTTTTTTTTAAGTAAAAATGATTTAAAGAGTCTGTGTAGTATTTGCTTATAAGAAAGAGCAAAATTGTTTAGGATGCATTCTTTTAATGGAGACAGAATGGTATTTTAATATTTTGTGCAACCAGAGGAATAAATTCTTTGTATAATGTGTATATGATACATTTTAGTCTTCATCTTCTGGGGAACTAGGAACAAAATGTGAATTTTCAGCATTTATACAATATGTACATTTATATATGCACTGCCTTTATATATACATGGCCTATTATCCATCTAAATTATTTTTCATTCTTTTCATGAATTGATTTTTTTTTTTTTTTTTTTGCCTTCTTTTGTCTGTTTTGTGATTTCTAAACTTGGAAACAGACAATTTAAAAAAAAGAAAGAAAAATCCTCATCTAACTGCCTTTTCAGCTTCTTAATAAATTTCTCCTCCTTCTCTCCCTCTCCCTTTCTCTTTCCCTCTGTCCCCTTCCTCACCTTTGAGCTAGAATTGCATGTTCAGTGGTCAGAAAACAGTTGGCCATCATGGGAGGTCAGCTATTATGACCAGGTGTTTATTATTGCCCTACCAAATGCTGGCTGCTCCAAAATTCTTTTATTCAGTATTGAAAATGCATTTCCCATAGAAGCAATGTTGTAAATGGTGATGAGGTGCTCAGCTTGACTCCCAAAGCCAATTTGCTTCAGAATATGAGTGAATTATAACACTAGTCATACCAGCCTGACCTCAGATCCTGTGGAACTGGAGCCAAGCAGGTGCAGGAGGTAGGGATGGGTCTGAACAGTCTGCCTGCTGCCTCACATCAGCTCCCTCTGGGCACTTCTCCTTAGACGCCCAGAACCTTCCTGAGGTTTATACCAGTGGCCTTTCACATGCTATGTGCTCCAAAATTCTGTGGTGGTCTTCCCCAGGCAAGATCCCCCTTCCTCAGGGACGCTGAGATAAGCAAGTAACATAAATGGTGTCCATGTTTTGAACTGAGGTTAAGTGAGTAACAGAGAGGCATGACTGAGGGAGGAATCCGTAGATGGATATGCTTTACTGGAAATGTTCTAGTCCTTGGGTTGAGTGATGATTTTCCAGGTGTTCATTATATTGTCAAACTTTTTAGCTTACATTATGACACATATATACCGTTAGTATCTTAAATATCAGGAAAAGTATAATAAAAAGTAACAAAAAAGTGGAAGGTAGAAGAAGCAAATGTAGCCAGAACCATAATGTCATATTTCATGGGAAAGGCAGGCCTATTGCAAAATTTGAGCATGCAGTTCTGAAAAGCCAGTGTTGTCACCGTTTTAAATATGAAACACCTTATAGTATTAAAAAATTTTGTGGACCATCACATATAATAATAGTTTTAGTTTTCATTGACTGAGAAAATATGCATTGAAACAAAAGTAAATACTTTTAAATATTATGGATCATAACATATATATATGTTTGAAAATATAATAAATTTGCAGATGAGACTTTTTTTTCTGCCTGTGGGCATTGATAGTGCTTAAAATTAAGGTAAGTTAGTACAGTAGAAATTTGGGAGAAGATGTATTTTGAGAGTAGCCTGGATAGTGACCCATCTGAGTCAGTTCCCAAAGGCTGTTCTGATGTACTTGATTATTGACAGCTTTTTTTTTTCCTGCCTCAGAACTAGGGTGCCATGTTTCTATAAGACAAAACAAAACACATTTTCCCTCTGACTGCTTCAGTTGAAATCCTGTGAGCCTGGTGCAATGGAGAAGTTTTTGGTTGCTTTTTGTTGTTAATATTGTTGTTTAGGGGGACTGAGATATTATAAATCAAGTATTTTTAAATGGGTACAATCAGTTCTTATATTAAGGGCTCTGTACTCAGTTTGCCTATGTTAATCCTGAAAACTATACTTAAAACTATTTTTAAAAATGTCCAAAGAGGAGACAGATTTTTATTGTAGTATTCTATTTTCAGTTACTTAAAAATTATCCTGTGCTGGGTGCAGTGGCTGATACCTGTTATCCCAGCATTTTGGGAGACTGAGGCAGGAGAATTGGTTGAGCCCAGGAATTTGAGACCAACCTAGGCAACATAATAAGACCTCATTTCTACAAAACAAAACAAAAAATCACAAAAATTAGCCTGGTATGGTGGCACACATCTGTAGTCCCAGCTACTCAGAAGGCTGAGGTAGGAGGAATGCCTGATCCCAGAAGGAAGGTAGAGGTTGAAGAAAGCCATGATCATGCCTCTGCACTCTAGCCTGGGTGACAGAGGAAGAACTTGACTCAAAAAAAAAAAAAAATTTCCTTTCAAGGTCTCAAAATTGGTTATCTTTTCAAAACCTTGATGTCAGTCCCCTTTTTTCCACTTTGGAAATACCACAGACTGAGGGAGGAACAGCTTGGGTTGCCCCAACAATATGGAGTCTGGAATTTCTAGTCCTAGCAGGTTTCTCTAGAACTCTCTCTGTGATTGTATCTGATGACCTTTTTTTGTGGGGGGAAACAAGTGTCTGCATGTTTTAATGTTCTGTAGTATATTTTGACTTAAAAAAAAGTAACATGAAAAGCTTTTCTCCAAACTTTATGAGGGTTTTATATATATTTTTTAAATGAAATAAAAATTAATTAGAGAAATATGTCATTGTATTATATTTTCTTCTGTTTGGTTCTTCTGGCTAACTTGTTGTTTTCTTCTTTAAGTCAAAATGCTACACCAACCTTATGGGATTCCTTAGAAGAGCCTGACATTCGGGACCCTAGTGAATTTGAGTATTTATTCTCCAAAGACACAACTCAGCAGAAAAAGAAACCTCTGTCAGAGACCTATGAAAAGAAAAACAAGGTCAAAAAGGTACTAAGTAATTATCATAATAGTTGTAATTATATGTATATTTTTTGATCATTTGTGGGAATTTATTATGTGCTGCTAGTTTGCTTTCTCTATTTTAGTTTCAAGTTGTAGATGTCAAAAAGGAGCCAATAGTTGAAGAAATCTCTGCTTGCTATTTTGGTCATATCCTCTGAATTTTCAAAATTTAATTTACGCTTTTTAAGTCATTAAATTTATTTGAATATATATAAAAGTTAATTTGCTATTAGTACAAGTAGTCTATAGGCTATATGGAAGATAGATCTTACTTATAAATTCTTTCATTTATTAAATGTTTATGGGGGGGTATTGTACTAGGCATTGTTCTAGCCCTGCACTGTCTGGTATGGTAACATGTGGCTATTTAAATAATGAATTAGAATTGACAGGAAAAAAGCAAATAACCCTATTTTTAAAAAAATCCTATTAAAAGGACATGAACAGACACTTATGCACAAGCAGCAAACAAACATGCAAAAATGCTCAGCATCACTTATCACCAGAGAAAGGCAAATCAAAACTACAATGTGACACCACTTCATACCGGTCAGGATGGCTATTGTTAAAAAGTAAAAAAACAGCAGGTGTTGGTGAGGCTGAGGAGAAAAGGTAGTGCTTCTACACTGTTGGTGGGAATGTGAACTAGTTCAACCTTTGTGGTTTGGAGATTTGCAGTTTGGAGATTTCTCAAAAACTAAAAAGAGAGCTACCATTCAACCCAGCAATCCTACTTCTGGGAATATTCCTGAAGGAACACATTGCTTTACCAAAAAGACAATGAATAGTGTATGTTCATTGCAGCACATTCACAAGAGCAAAAACATGGAACCAAACCAGATGCCCATTGAAAATGGATTGGATAAAGAATATGTGGTACATATACACTATGGCAGCAGTTCCCAGCCTTGTTGGCATCAGGGATTGGTTTTGTAGAAGACAGTTTTTCCACAGACTCGGAGTAGTGGAATGAGGGAGATGTTCAGTTCAACCTCACTGCTTATGTTAAATCTGTATTTGCAGCCACTCCCCAGTGCAAGCCTCACTGCCTCAACTTCACCTCAGATTACCAGGCATTAGATTCTCATAAACAGTATGCAACCTAGATCCCTCACATGTACAGTTCACAATAGAGTTTATGCTCCTATGAGAATCTAATGCTACTGCTGATCTGACAGGAGGTGGAGCTCAGGTGGTGATGTGAACAAAGGGGAGTGACTGTAAATACAGATGAAGTTTTGCTTGTTCTCCCTACGTTGACCTCCTGCTGTGTGACCGGGTTCCTAACAGGCCACAGACTGGTACTGGTCCATGATCCTGGGGCTATGGAATACTATGCAGCCATAAAGAAGATCAAAATCATGTTCTATTTTGCAACATAGATGCAGCTGGAGACCATCATTCTAAATGAATCATCACAAAAACAAAAAACTGAATACCACACAATCTCACTCATAATTGGGCATTAAACATTGGGCATATGGTACAAGGACAGGAACAGTAGAAAATGGACACTGCTAAAGGAGGGAGGGAGGGAGGATAAGGGATACAAAGCCACTCAGTGGGTACCATGCCTACTACTGGGTGGATGGGCAAACAGCTCATCAAACCACCTTCACACAATATACTTATATAACAGATCCTCACATGTACCTCATGATTCTAAAATATTAAACAAAATTTAAATTTAAAAAATTGCAAAACTTCTATCCTTCAGTTGCACAATCCACTTTCCAATTTTGTTCTTGTGGCTAGCAGCTACCGTATTAGATAGCACAGACGTGAAAACAGTTCCATCATTTCGAAAATTTCTATTGGACAGCACTATCTAAGCCTTTGGGATATATTGGTAAAAAAGTAACAACAAACAAAAAACAAAGATCCTTGCCTGGTGAAGCTTATGCTAACACAAAAACCAAGCCATGTCAACCAATTGTAGTGTGCGAAGGAGGGAAGATTAGCTTTGGCAAGGTGAGACTAGGGTCTGCTATTTTATTTTATTTTATTTATTTCTTTTTAATTTTAATTTGTTTATTTATTTTAAAGATGTGGGGTACAATTCAGGGTTAGGTATACAAACGCTGATTATGCAGGTACCCTTGTTGATGAGGTATGCCCCTCCCTCCCTTAGCAGTTTCCCTCAACTGCCAGTGCCACCGCCCTCCCCTGACAGTTTTCCACTACTGCCAATTGCTTTCTTATAGCATTATAATTGTTCAGGATCACCTTATGAGTGAGAACCTATGGAACTCAGTTCTTTGTTTCTGTGATAAATCACTGAGTATGACAGACTCCAAATCCATCCAATTTGCTGCAAAGTCCATTTAAATAGAATGATCGGAGCAGGCTTCCTTGAGATAGTGGCTTCTGAGTAATGATGCAAGGACTTGAAAACTAAGAGCCACCAGCCATCTGTAAGAGAACAAGTTTAAGATTGTTGAGCGATCAGACAGACTTGGGGTTGAATTGCACCTCTGCTACACACTGACTTTGAGATCTGAGTCGGAGTTGCTAGGTCCTTCCTACACCGTAACATGAGCTGTTGTCTACTCATAATGTTACTCTAAGTGATTATCCAATGAGTTGACACATATCTGGCTCAGTATAGTGCCTGGCACACCCTCAGCCCTCAGCATATGACAACTTCTCTCATATTTGCTATTGTTGTTACCACTGCTACCATTTCTGTGCATTCATGTTTTGAGAGTAGCAGAGATAGTGTTGAGGAGGAAGTCTAGTGCTTGGTTCTGCTATTGATTTGCTATATGAGTTTGACCTAGTTGTCTTCCTTCTCACCCTTTCTCTTTTCTATAAAACAAGATTAATGACATCGGAATCTGTCTGACCTACCAGGATATTGTAAAATTCACAGGCCAGGCGCAGTGGTTCATGCTTGTAATCCCAGAATTTGGGGAGGCCGAGGCAGGAGAATTGCTTCAGTCTGGGAGTGTAAGACCAGCCTAGGCAGCATAGTGAGATCTCATCTATACAAAAAAATTAAACAATTAGCTGGGTACAGTGGCAAGTACCTGTAGTCACAGCTACTTGAGAGGCTGGGATGGGAAGATCACCCGAGCCCAGGAGGTTGAGAATGTGGTGTGTTGTGATCATGCCACTGCACTCCAGTCTGGGCAATGAGACCCAACTCAAGAAAAAAGAAATTCACATCGAAGAGGGTCTGAAGCAGTATTTTATTTGAAAATTGTATAATGTTGAATGATATTATCATCAACGCTTCCTTCTTAAATTATATAGTGGGGTTCAGCATCAGTTCATTTCTTGAATAATATTACGATTATGAAATCAGCTTTCTGATTTCTGAATCAGAAAACTACTTTTTGATTAGATCAGATTTTCCCACTGACTTAGATTATAAGTAAAAATCATGATCAAAGTTTTTCATCTAAAAATATTTGCTGACTGTCTATCTGACAAAGGCCTAACATCCAGGATCTACAAGGAACTCAAATGTGCTGAAAGGAAAAAAACTAACAGCCCTATTAAAAAGTGGGCAAAAGACTTGAATAGACACTTCTCAAAGGAAGAGATACAGGCAGCCAACAGACACATGAAAAAGTGCTCAGCCTCACTCATCGCCAGAGAAATGCAAATCAAAACCACATTGAGATATCACCTAACCCCAGTAAGAATGACCATCATTAATAAAACAAACAACAACAGATGCTGGCAAGGATGCAGAGAAAAAGGAATGATTCTACACTGCTGGTGGGAATGCAAACTAGTGCTACCTTTTTGGAAAACAGTGTGGTGATTTCTGAAAGAACTATACATTGATCCAGCAATCCCCCTATTGGAAATATACCCAGAAGAACTTAAATCATTCTACAAAAAAGATATCTGCACACACATGTTTATTGCAGCACTATTCACAATAGCAAAAATATGGAACCAACTGTGCTGCCCATCAAAACTGGACTGGATAAAAAAAATGTGGTACATATATGCAATGGAATATCGTGCAGCCATAAAGAAGGACAAACATATGGACTTTGGATGGATTTGGAATCTATCATACTTAGTGATCTATCACAGAAACAAGGAACAGAATGTCATATGTTCTCACTCATAAGCGGAACTTGAACAATTATCATAATACTATAAGAAAGGAATTGGCAGTAGTGGGAAACTGCTGGGGGGAGGGGTGGGATTGGCAGTAGTGGGAAACTGCCAGGAGGTGCACATCTCATCGATAAGGGTACCTGCATAATGAATATTTATATACCTAGCCCTGAATTGTACCCCACATCTTTAAAATAAAAAAAATGTTTTTTAAGTTTTTCTTCTCACAAGTTCACTAAAAGTATGTTCTCATGAGAAAAATATCATTCCAATAATAATTACATGTCATTTTTAAAAGGATATATTGCATGGAAAAATTGGATTTTTTCTAATGAAATAATAAGTGCTATGCAAGAAGTCAACTGATATAAGATGTATTTCCATGCACTGAGATTCATATGAGATGGAGTTAAGAGTACCTTGTAGTCCAGCTGGCTTTTAAAATGCCATTTGTAGAAACAGATAATTGTTTCTACCTGAAAAGCAAAAGGATAATCTCTGCATTCCAAAGCTAACCTTGGTTGGCCTCTTCCAGGAAGGCTTTTCTAACTAGCCAGAAGCTCCACTGGCTGTTTTCTTATGCAAGATTGTATTCAACTTACTTGTGTTCTCTGTTTCTTCTTAGCTTGCTGTTTCTTTCTGGATGCTTGGTGACATGGTGTTTACTCATAAGACTAATCACTACTTATTTGATAAACATTTGTTTTTAAACATCAAAGCAAGCCCGCTCGGTGGCTCAGTCTGTAATCCCACGCCTTTGGGAGGCTGAGGTGAATGGATTGCCTGAGCC